TTGTGTCTCATCATTATGTGTTTGAGTGAGTGGCCATGTGCAGGTGATATTTATATGCTGTTTCACATATACTCCATTCTACATTTTTTGCATTGTGTGTATTGAGGGTCTGGGTCTTCGCGCTATTGGAAACTCAATTTGAATTGAACTCATTGCTGTCTTGAGCATCGGGTTGTTTTTTTTGTTTTTTTTTAATTGACAGCACTGCGCAGCCACAGTGATCTAATTATAAGAACTTTTGTTTTGTATTTATTTCTGTAGAAACACTGTTTAAACATGTGATTTTGTGTGTGCTGTTTGTGCATCTGACTGTGTAATTGTATATCAGCCTGCTCTAAGCACCTCTGGGCTGTCTTGTCTCCTCCAATCACAGCGTCCCACTAAAGCCCCAGGGGATGATGGGTAATTTGTCATGTTCTGTTGCTGTTTGTATATAATTTAGGTCATTAGAGTTTAGCGTATAGCATATATGTTGTATAGAGTCAGCAGCACATACCAGGGTAGCTTTACTAAAACTAAAAGCATAACACATTTTTGTTACTTGGAATAAATGTTAATATTATATTATAAATATTAATGAATATATATTATAAATATATTTAATAAACATTTAATGTATTTAATAAAAATAAAATAATAGAATAGAATATTTTAAAGTATATTTTTTGAGGATTCTTTAGAAGGTTAGAAGGTTCAAAAGAAAAACTTTTTTTTGAACAGAAACCTTTTTTATATAAATATCTTTACTGTCACTTTTAATCAATGTAGCGCATCCTTGCTAAATAAAAGTATTCATTTATTTTTAAAAATCCTAAACTGTCAGTATTTGTGTATATATTAAAAAATGTCTTAAAGTAACCCATGTATTAATAAGCATTAACATGCAGTAAAGTGACAAGGTTCCAAAATACTACTTCTTTTTTTAAATGTTTAAGTTCTTAATTGTGATCTGTAAGGCATTAAGCATAAATACAACAATCCAATGAAATATTTGGATAATATATATATATATATATTATATATATGAACAAATAGTATTGTAGGCTACAAATATTTAATTGGTTTATTGAACAAATAGTATTGTTCATATATATATATATATGACAGCTGTACCACATGGTGGAACGATGCACAAGTCTATTGACGATCAGTCGAATAATGAGCTTTACACACTGACAACTGTCTTTATCATCATTAAATATAACTGTTGCATATACTGTAAGTCTCCTCAGGAGAGCTTTGTGCAGTTCCACTGATTACCATACAAAGAAAAATCATTACAAATACAATAGAAACATGACAGAGGCAGAGTCATTTCCAATTAGCGCTCTGCACTGAACTGTCAGATGAACTGGAGCTGTATAACGCGAGCGCTTCCTTTCCAGAAATGAGAAAGAGATGCCTGCTAGATGACTGGAAAATACATTTATTTTAACTCTGTGAAAAAGAAGAACAATTTAGCATACTTTTAAAAAGATTACTTATTATGGAATTAATATACTTTTAAAAGAATATACTTAAAAAAGGGTTAGTTCACCCAAAAATGAAAATTAGGCTGCGTTTTACTCACCCCTGAGGCATCCTAGGTGTATATGACTTTTTTCTTTCAGACGAATCCAGTCGGAGTTATATTAAAAATTGTCTTTGATCTTTCAAGCTGTTTAATGGCAGATTCGTCTGAAAGAAGAAAGTCATATACACCTAGGATGCCTCGGGGGTGAGTAAAACGCAGCCTAATTTTCATTTTTGGGTGAAATAACCCTTTAAGTACAAACTGAACTGAATGTTTTCACACACTTAACTGCACGTTAATTGCAAATAAAATGGAAATGTATTATTGTTTAAATTTATGTTAAATATGCTTATCTAGAGTTTAGAATACTTTTTGACTCACTTAAGTGCATAAATACCTCGCAGTTACTTCAGTTGTCTTAAAGGTGCTTAAAAGGTTCTTCACAGCTATGCCACAGAAGAACCATTTTTGGTTCTTTAAAGAAGCATCTCTTTCTTACCTTTTTATAATCTGAAGAACCTTTTGTGAAACAGAAAGGTTCTTGAGGTGTTAAAGGTTCTTTATGGAATCATTTAGACAAAAAAGGTTCTTCTATGGCATCGTGAAGCACCTTTATTTCCATTAAAGCGTTTCATCCAGGTCGCCAGTAGCAAACAATGGAGCTAAGTAATTTACAAACTAAGTAATTACACCATTTCAAGCATTTTATCTGCGTCATATGTTCTGTAAAAAAATTTTCATATCGACGGCATATCGGCGGCATATTCGCCGATACCGATATATCGGCGACAGGCTCATATCGGCAAAACGATATATCGGTCGGGCTCTAGAACTAACCCCATATGGACACTCACTCTCTGACTGCTGTGTTCAGTGTTGTGTCATTTATCGATAGACATAATGACATATTAGGCTGGGTTTGTGTGATTTATGGGATGCATCAGTCAGAGATAATGACTTGTCCTCTCTCAGATAGACTCCACTCCCTAGAGAGCCAGACACTCACATCTGAGCCACAGAAAGGCCACATTAACTGTCCCAGGTGTCCTGGTTAATGGCTCAGGCCGCCTCTGTGTCATTAGTCACTGAGCTTCATTTATTGGCACCTCCTGTTACCAAAACATTCAGCTTTGAGAGTGATAAAATCAGCTTATTCTGTCACGTTCTGTCTATATAATGATATTTATCAACTGTGTTTTATTGCATGTTCTCAATTCTGAATCCTTTATAAACAGACAGTGATGTAAAACGTCTTCAGTTCTGTATTAGGTTTGATGGATCAGAACAGATGTTAATTAAATTTATTGACATATTGAATACGGTCTTTGGGGATGTGCGAAACCTCTGCATGTGGTGAGGTCTTAAACCTATTATGGATGACACTTTGGATGGACTTTCTACTCTTTCGCCAAACACTAAATGGGCACTAATCTCTCTCGTGTGTCTATAATTAGCAGATGCTTTTGTCCAAAGCAACAGAAAGTATACTAGTGCCCTCCTCCAGAGAAATCCAAGGTTAAGTGCCTTGCCCAATGGCACTATCTTTCCATCTGTCTGTCTAGAATTTGATGTCAGTTATAGATGTTAATGGAAATGTCGAGTAACGGTGTGCTCTCTTATCATCCTTTTTTTTTCCAAAACTTTTTTTTTTTTAAGAAAAAAGTATTTAAGAAAGGAAACAAACAAACAAATAGTAATATTTCTTAATAACTTGCTATACTAGAAAGCTGGAAACATGACAAAATTAAATCCTCTCCAAAAAAATAATAATTGTAAAATGTTTTATTCTTTGTGAAAAAGAAGTGTGCTTATTTGTGTTGAATGTGCACTTTTTGCATACTTCATATCTTAAAGATACATTAAAAATACTTGCAAATAATATAAAATTAATGGAAAAACACGTTAAGTAGACTTTAGTGGCCTTTGATTTAATTAAAATACTTTCATGTTTCTTAACACAATTTAATAGTGCACTTTGTAATGCTGCAAAATGTTACTTTAAAGTACT